CTTTATTGCCAAGTATGTTTGCACATACAAGGAATTTGTTATAGTGTCACAAGCTTCCAGTACACTGAGACAACAACAACACACAGATAATAAAAGTGAGATGTGAATAAAATACACATGCATAAATATAAACCACAAAAAAAGAATAAATTGTATGTACAGGTGTGCTATAGATAGAATAGGAATAGAATAAATAAAAGTTGTAGAGATGTACAAGGATTTAGGGTGATAAATAAGTATAAGGTTATTGCACTTTAATTGCACAATGGGAGAACATTACCTGTTCATGAGGTAGATTGCCTGCGGAAAGAAACTGTTCTTGTGCCTGGCTGTCCTGGTATTCGGTGCTCTGTAACGCCGACCAGATGGCAAAAGTTAAAAAAGGAGATGGCTTGGATGTGATGGATCCAGAGTGATTTTCTGAGCCCTTTTCCTCACTCTGGATGTATACAGTTCTTGGAGGGTAGGCAGGGGGGCACCAATAATCCTTTCAGCAGTCCGAACCGTTCTCTGTAGTCTTCTGATGTCTGATTTTGTAGCTGAACCAAATCAGACCATTATTGAAGTGTACAGAACAGACTCGATGACGGCTGAGTAGAATTGCTTCAGCAGCTCCTGTGGCAGGTTGAATTTCCTCAGTTGGTGAAGGAAGTACAACCCTCTGCTGGGCCTTTTTAACAGTGGAGTCAATATGAGTGTCCCACTTCAGGTCCTGAGAGATGGTGGTTCCCAGGAATCTGAATGACTCCACTGCAGCCACAGTGCTGTCCATGATGGTGAGTGGGGGGAGTGCAGGGGGTTTCTCCTGAAGTCCACGATCATCTCCACTGTTTTGAGGGTTTTGAGCCAGCTCTTTAACCTCCTGTCTGTAAGCAGACTCATCTCCGTCCTTGATGAGACCGATGACTGTAGTGTCATCTGCAAACTTCAGGAGCTTGACAGAGGGGTCTTTAGAGGTGCAGTCGTTGGTGTAGAGGGAGAAGAGCAGTGGGGAGAGGATGCAACCCTGAGGGGCAACAGTGCTGCAGCTGTTGGATGTGAATTTACCAATTCTCACTAGCTGTTGCCTATCTGTCAGAAAGCTGGTGATCCATTGACAGATAGAGCTAGGGA